GGGGGGGGGGGGGGGGGAGAGAGAGAGAATCTTGGGTGGGAGTGGGACCCAGCAATATTCGGAATGCTGAAAGCACCGCCGTTGGTATGCGGCGAACCGAGTCCACTGTGACCCATCACCCCGGCAATCGCACGTTTAAGGGTCCCACAACTTTTCCAGTACAGCGTACTACTACTATTACCACTACCACGCTTTCCCACCGATCAATTCGGAATCTCCTCTCCTCTCCTCTCCTCTCCCCTTGCTTGCACCTTACCCATTTTATCGGCCGTTGGCCACTAAACATTAAATATTATATTTTTGAAAAATTTAGAAGTCGGTCTCTATATTAGAGATAAGTTTATCAAGAAAATTTATTTAATTTTAAGTCTTTTTTTTGTCAATTTTATTATTGTAACCATTTTTTGTAAGAATATTATAAATGACGTTTATGAGCACAATAATCAGTCATATACATTTCTTTCATAATTGCCTTCAAATCTAACTACAATCTTTCAATTCACAATGTTTTCTTATCCGAAAAATAAGAAATCAGTATTTACAAAAAATTGTTCATATTTAAATTTCAAAATTATTACATTCCATAAAATACAATTTCAATTTATTATTCCAGTTCAGTTTGGACTCCATCAACAAAATATTAATATTAAATATTAATATTTAAAAAATAACAGTAATAACATACTCAACAAAGACAGTAACACGGTTACTAAAAAAATAATAGCATGTTCACAAAAAAATAGTAACATGGTAAAAAAGTAATAACAATTAGGGATTTAATTCTGTCAAAGTGGATATTAACCTTGTATCCAAGATTTAAGAGAACTCATACATTAGTACTAAATTAAAGTGTTGTAGATTTCAATTTTATTGATTTTTTTTTGTTACGTAAGACAATTGAGTATTCATTAGATGTGCTACTGTGGAAGAAGNAGATTTAAGAGAACTCATACATTAGTACTAAATTAAAGTGTTGTAGATTTCAATTTTGTTGATTTTTTTTTGTTACGTAAGACAATTGAGTATTCATTAGATGTGCTACTGTGGAAGAAGTTCATATTACTATACGTGAACCGAAAAATAAAGTTCATAATTTCGATGTCTTGATGTTCATAATTGGTGTTGAGTGTCGTAATTCAACTGTCGATTGTGTGTTATCATTTGTCATTTTGTAAATTTTCAATTTGTAAATCGTATTTTTATTAAAATTATTCAAAAGTTGATGTTACTGTAAAATAATTATTGTCTTGTGTTTTATAAAATTAGATGTGTTATTGAGTAGAAAGTTTTGATATTATTGTGAATATTAAAGTGTATATTACATAATATACATCTCAATAATTGTAATTGTATGTTAAAATTCACTATAGTAACATTAATGTCAATATAATAACCTGACTGTACTGGTAATACAACCCCAATTATAACTTCAATGATATAGTAACATGAATGTTATTATATATTAACATTCGTGTTATTGAATTTTGTTCAGCATTTTTGTATTATGCATTATTGTTATTAAGGAAATTTTGTGATCTGATTTTGATTTAATAGACCAATAATTTATTTGTACATTAAGTTTTTCATATATAATTATCATAATATATAACTTCCATATAAAATTTTCGTTAATTATCATAATATTTAATAAACGGTTTCTATATATAACTCAATAAAAAGATTGTTATATATACTTCAATGATTTAATCTATGTGACTTTCCATAATTGGNTTATAACTTCAATGATATAGTAACATGAATGTTATTATATATTAACATTCGTGTTATTGAATTTTGTTCAGCATTTTTGTATTATGCATTATTGTTATTAAGGAAATTTTGTGATCTGATTTTGATTTAATAGACCAACAATTTATTTGTACATTAATTTTTCCATATATAATTATCATAATATATAACTTCCATATAAAATTTTCGTTAATTATCATAATATTTAATAAACGGTTTCTATATATAACTCAATAAAAGGATTGTTATATATACTTCAATTATTTAATCTATGTGACTTTCCATAATTGGACAAAACTAACACCGTTAGGGGTAATTTTGAAATTTAAAAAATAAGTGAACTTAACTACCTATATATAAGTTTAAATATGGACTTACCCCCAAATAAGTTTCTTTCTAGAACTCAAGTCATTATCAGTTCATCNCTTCAATTATTTAATCTATGTGACTTTCCATAATTGAACAAAACTAACACCGTTAGGGGTAATTTTGAAATTTAAAAAATAAGTGAACTTAACTACCTATATATAAGTTTAAATATGAACTTACTCCCAAATAAGTTTCTTTCTAGAACCCTAAGTCATTATCAGTTCATTTACAGGGACTCACCCTCAATTTTCACTATATTTGTTTACATTATTTTTTTATTTTATGAAAAAAACAATGTTATGTGCATAAAAAATATGTGTCAAATTATTTGCAGCCGTTAAATCAATGGGTTCTATCACTGATCTAATCACTACAGTTGATTTGGTGCAAGTGTTAGTATACATAAAATCACTTTATTAAAATTATTTGGTGCAAGTGTTAGTGCACNTTTGTTTACATTATTTTTTTATTTTATGAAAAAAACAATGTTATGTGCATAAAAAATGTGTCAAATTATTTGCAGCCGTTAAATCAATGGGTTCTATCACTTGATCTAATCACTACAGTTGATTTGGTGCATAAAATCACTTTATTAAAATTATTTGGTGCAAGTGTTAGTACAAATAAAATCACTTCATTAAAATTATTGTAATATTGTTCTCTTGTTAACCTTTATTATTTATTCCATTCACTCTAATATGGTGATTTTTGATAGAATGAGTAACGAAAGAGTCTCGTTCAACAAGTTTTCATGCAACAAACATTATAAAGTGGTAACTTAATATCCTGGCTAATTTTTTTATTTTTTAAAGANTCTTGTTAACCTTTATTATTTATTCCATTCACTCTAATATGGTGATTTTTGATAGAATGAGTAACGAAAGAGTTTCGTTCAGCAAGTTTTCATGCAACAAACATTATAAAGTGGTAAATTAATATCCTGGCTAACTTTTTTATTTTTTAAAGCATGCTCTAAATTATTATCAATCGTTGGATGATAATGGATAATAGATATCACTGATCTAATGGTCGAAAATATTTTGGTACATATTTTTAGTGCATAACATTACTCTTCTTGAAACCGATATCTTCCAAAAAGGAGTTGAAAATTGAAAAGTAGATGCAAGAGAAATACACAATGATGATTTTAGTTTTGAGAGGTGGAGGCCACCCACAATAGTGCCTTCTCAACAACTCCTAAAAGTAGACAAAGACCGTAAAAGTTAAATGACAAAACTAACCTTGGAAAGGGCAATAAAGTAGCCAATTGCATGCGTACATTATAATCTATTATTCCATCTCAACAATAAGAAAAATATTGCAACATATGTCATTTTAAAAAATTAGTCATTAAATCTATTTTTGATCTGTTCGAAAGAAAAATCTGTTCACAACATCAATAAAAACTTCAGTCCAATTTAAACCCGTCTCAATAACAAACACCTTCCTTTATAATTCACTATAGGTCGAAGGAACAACTAGTTCAACTTCTTAAAGAGTCGAGATATTAGACAACAGACATTTGATTGATTCTTGTGTCACCCTAAGATGAGAGGGAAAGTCGATTTAAAATGAATTAAATTGAGTCAAACATTGTCCTACTATGATTTAATTCGTTTTAACTCAAAATTGTGATGAACTTTGAATATTTTATTTAATTTTTGAGTTTATTAACCATTTTTATACTTGTGTTTGACTTGTTGGGCTGGTGTTATCTAACTAAATAATTCAAGCTCAAGTTTGTAATTGAGTTTAAATTTGATTCGTTTATATAAATCATTATAAAATTAAGTTTAAATTTGATTCGTTAGAAAAATATATGAACATTTATTCAAATCTATCCTGAATTATTAATAAGTTGACGTTTTGTATCATTTGCACTGTTAACTGTGGGGTCCTGTAAACTTAACTTTGAACGACTTAATTGAATTTACTAGAAACCGACAAAATATAAAATTGAATAGACTTCACAATATTTGAGATTTACAAGATCCAAAAAGAGATACCTAATCAAAGGTTACACAAAAGCCATGATAATGTCATCATGTGCAAGATGCTTTTTTTGTGAGGGGGTGATAAGGATTGTTGTGTCCTCTTCGAGAAACCATTAAATTAGAGCATCTTATTTCTTCCTAGGATCCAATGAAGTTTGGCTCTTCTATCGTTACCTTAATTGAAAGGGAAAGATTCATTCAATGGATCTTCCAAGAGTCCATATATTTCTCACAAACTCACATACTCCAAAAATAGAAAAAATTCTCTAATGTATCTGTAAAATTGAACGTTTTGAATTTGAATTTGAATTTTAACATATTCTTATTTCTCATCCTCTTTAACACCTCATAAAGAGCGAAGGAGAAGATTATGATAACCCTTAAATTTTATTTAAAAAAAAAATTACCCCTTGATTGTGTATATTCTAGTGTGAAACAGTGTTGGGAGAGATACCCTTTCTTGGATTCTAGAGAGAGAGAGTATCATGAGATGAGAGAGAAAAAGGCAATATGCTTTTTCATTTTGGCTTTGGTTTGTTTGTTGGCACCTCTCTCTCTCTCTCTCACATGTAAATTCCATATACTTTGCGTGGGCCTTTTTTTTCTTGAATTGACCAAACTAATTTGGTTGGAGGGCCAGAGCTAGGCAGGTGTTTCAATATCATTATTGTGATTAGAAGCAAGATTTAGAGGAATCTTATGCTCTTTGACCGCTCACCAATAAGGATTTCTCTTAATATTATATTATTAAAACTTGCCCCGACAAACACGACGGAGATAAAGTTCTAATATCATAATTTTTTAGCCCAATACAAATACATTATGTCTATTTTTTCTTATTTATAATTTTTAATTATAAATCACTAAAATCAAAATTAATAACCGAGATGAATGAATTGACGATGTTGACTTTGGTACCCTAATTTAACCTACAAATATCAAAACTATCGAGCTCTAAAGGGTAATTCAAATGATATTAGAGACGAGTTATAAATATAGATGTCTTGAGTTTAAATTTTAATAATTTATTAGATCAAACTATAAGAGATTTAACGTAAATAACTATCTTTGATTGAACTAATAGGATAATTAGTCGAAATACTGTAAGCTTAGCTCAGACCGTTGAAAAAAATATATATCAAACCCATTACACTTTTCTGCGAGTTATAAGAGAGATTCTGATAAAAGTATTGGAATCTATTGGCTGTAAATGCTTGTCCTTTTTCCTTCAATAACACCATCTCTCTCTCTCCACTAGCCTCTAACAGAGAAATCTCAGCTACCTCCAAGATTCCTTATCTCTAGGCTGGCATTAAAGTCCACCGGCGTTGCAATTTAATTAACACTCCACCAAACCAGTAAAATATGGAAGGANATTCGTTATCTCTAGGCTGGCATTAAAGCCCACCGGCGTTGCAATTTAATTAACACTCCACCAAACCAGTAAAATATGGAAGGAAAAAACCACCCAAAAACCCTCTCTTATTTTTTTAAAAAAACAATTAAGTTTTATCAAGTTTGTATTAAGACAATTAATAAGTCTTATTTTTTTTAATTATTTTTAAATAAGTCCTTTTTAATTTAACTGTCAGTCCGTATGCATAACAATATAGAGATAATAGAAACATTCTAGAGTTTAGACGAGTCAATCATATTTTTCAAGTAAATGGATCGGGTTTCTGATAATTCAACCAGGAGAAAACATATGCTGAATCAAAGGGTGAAATTTAGACAAGTCAGTTTGAAATAAAATCTTACTCCAACTTGAAATATTCAAGAGTTTGACAGAGATTTTAATCGGAGAACTGTAATTCAATTCAATATGAATAGAAGAATTTATTCTAATTGATAATTTTAAAACTTGAATTGAACCCGAGTTGTCAAATGTACGGTGTAATAAAAAACGTACATAAGAGGTTGATGATTTATCCGTACTATGAAATTAAGATAACAAAAAATTGATATAATTGTATTAATTAAGCTCCTAAACAACACAACCCAAACACAATTGGATAAGTTCAGTATTTTTGTGTCATGTTGGATAAGTTCATTGCATCATACCACTAAAACCCCTGGATTGTANATAAAATCTTACTCCAACTTGAAATATTCAAGAGTTTGACAGAGATTTTAATCGGAGAACTGTAATTCAATTCAATATGAATAGAAGAATTTATTCTAATTGATAATTTTAAAACTTGAATTGAACCCGAGTTGTCAAATGTACGGTGTAATAAAAAACGTACATAAGAGGTTGATGATTTATCCGTACTATGAAATTAAGATAACAAAAAATTGATATAATTGTATTAATTAAGCTCCTAAACAACACAACCCAAACACAATTGGATAAGTTCAGTATTTTTGTGTCATGTTGGATAAGTTCATTGCATCATACCACTAAAACCCCTGGATTGTAATGGAAGGGGTTAATTTGTTTTAAGTATGGTTGGTAATCGGATTGAATCTGGNCCACTAAAACCCCTGGATTGTAATGGAAGGGGTTAATTTGTTTTAAGTATGGTTGGTAATCGGATTGAATCTGGTGAACTTATTCAAGCTCGACTCATTGAAAAAATCACTCACACTCGAACCCGAGTAACTCGGTTCAATTGTCCATCCTAGCTCCAAGTATCATCCATTAAAGATTCCAACTCTCCGTTTTGAATTCTTTCGAATTACTAAATAAATCATAACTCTGACTTGAAGTTTGAAGTTTGAAGTTAGGAATTCCAATAAATTTATTGATCTAATTAATTATTAACATGATTGAAAATTAAAATTTACTACTACTAATATAATGCGTATAATTTGATGAATAATTCTATTAAGTCTTAATTTATTGATCTAATTTGTTAACTCAATTCACTATAACGATTAAATTGACCGTGCATCTCATTTAACATTGAAACTTACTATCAATTTAACGTAGTGATTTAAGTTAACAAATTAGATCTAATTAACATTGTTCATAATTGATTATATTAACAAATTAAGTCGATAAATTAGTTCTAAATAATAAAAAAATATTACATAATTCAAATGAAATTCAAAAAGTTACAATTCAAATGCATATCATCGTTTGGATGAGTGTGGAATAAATGGGCCCTACTGAAAAAAATTGATGGCATTTACTAATCTAAGAGATGATATGCATTTGACTTACAAATTTATTTGGGTTTTATTTGAGTTTTGCAACATTACTTTAAATAATAATATGGAAAATTTAAATACAAGGACAATTCAGTCATTTCAAGAAACATATGAGTGGAAGGGACAGAGTACGCGAGGAACCGAAAGTGACTTGTGTATACGTATATATTCTGTATCTATATCTACATACCGCTCTGCAAAAACCCGGCGTTGTTCTTCATAGAATCTTCGCGTTCAATCCCCGCTTTCAACACAAAAGCCACTTTCTCTCTCTCTCTCTCTCTCTCTCTCTCTCTCTCTCTCTCTCCATATTTACAAACATATATAGATCTGCACTATTTCTCATATCTATGATTTTTGGTCAGTTTTAATTAAATTATCTATCAGCATTTTGTTGGGAGATCTAATCTTGAGACTGAAGGGATCGAAAATGGGTTCAATTCCACCTGAACTTAGCTTAGAGGTGAGACCAACTTATATTCCCAAAAGGATCAGTGAGTTTATCGGAGAAGTTTCGATGATGGGTAATGTATCAGAGAGGTTAATGAAGGTTGATGATTTTGTGAAGAGATTGGAAGACGAAATGAAGAAGATCGATGCGTTTAAACGCGAACTTCCTCTTTGCATGCTTCTTCTCAACGATGGTTCGTTTCATTTACTTCTAGAGATGGGCTAATAATGTTTGATGATTTTGATTGCTGGTTTTTTTTATTTTGGGTATTTATTTGTTCTTGGGTGAAAGTTGATATTAGAGATTGGATATTCAAATTTTTGATGATTTTGGTAATATTTTTGTTTTCGGGGATTCGGAAATTAATATCGTTTTGGAGAATTTGGTTTGGTTTTTGATGATTTATGTTGGTTGTTGCAGCGATTATGGCTTTAAAGGAGGGAACAGTTAAGTGTGGAAAATCAAATGCTGAACCAGTATTGGAGGAATTCATACCACTAAAGAAGAGTTCTGACGAAGATGAAAAATGTGAGGTTAGGAAGGAAGATGACAGTAGAGATAAGAAGAACTGGCTGAGCTCTGTGCAGCTCTGGAACAGTGATCATCATCCAAGTACCAATTTCAAATACAATCAAACACAGAATTCAACCCTTGAAATTAAAAAGGTACAACAGAATCAATATAATTTGACCCAAAATGTTTTTGGGGATTTTTGGTAAATTTTCATGAGTTTCTTTTGCTATGTGTAATGTATAAACTTGAATTTTGTTCTTTAATTTGGTGATAGAGAGCTGAGGAAGAAGTAAGTCGACCCATTTCAAATGATTCATATCAGTCCTGCAAGAACAGGTCTGGAGGAAGAGGGTCGATGCCATTTATGGAGTACTCTGGTTTTTCTATGGGTGTGACAAGGAAGGAAGATAAGGAGGAATTACCAATTGCTGGGCTTTCCTTTGTCACTCCTGGAATTAAGAATTTGAGGGAAGGATTAGGCTCCAGTTGTTTGAGTTCAAAAATAAGGGTTTGTGGAACAGGTTCCCCTTCTGCCCCTAGTATTCAATCAAATTTACGGACTGATGCACAACCATCGCAGCAGCAGACTGCAAGGAAACAGAGAAGATGCTGGTCACCTGAGTTGCATCGACGCTTTGTCAATGCCCTGCAACAGCTTGGGGGTTCACAAGGTTAGAACTTGAAACTGGACATAATGTCCAACTAAATCTTTGATAGTAGTGAAATGGAACTCGAATTTTTTGATTGATTCTTTCCCATTAGCCTTTAAGTTTATGATTTTGTTCTGTGAATTTTGTTTAATGATTTTAGAAGTCTAGGTCTTATGTATTCTAATCGGAAATGTGGTGAAGCTGGTAGTAGCTGAATGTAGAATCTGTGCAAGAAGTGGAAAGACAAGGCAAAATGGAAATTAAATAAAACACTTAATTATTATTTATCCATGCTTTGGGATGCATTACATGTTTTGTATTGGAAACTAGAACAAAGGGAATAGTAAATAATGTTGAAGACTCTCATAAATTCACTACGATCTTTAAACTTAAATTACTGTTTAGTATCTTTAGTTTCACGCATCTGATTTGATGTTTGATCCCTTGCAGTGGCTACCCCTAAGCAGATTAGAGAGCTCATGCAGGTTGATGGTCTTACAAACGACGAAGTGAAGAGTCATTTGCAAGTTGGATTTTGAACTTTCATATCGTCTTTTATGTTTCATATTCCTATTCATTTGAAGTTAGCTTATGAGCTGATGCTAAATTTTTTCTATGATTGCAGAAATACCGGCTTCATACTCGAAGATTTCCAGCTATTGCTTCTGTCCCTGCAAATAAATCTGTCGTCGTGTTGGAAGGTTTATGGATGCCTCAAGATCAGTATGGTGAATCCTCAAAGCAGAGCAATTCCCACTCTGATTCTCCCCAGGGTCCCCTGCAGTTAAATGGAAACTCTAGGGGGACTTCCACCACAGGTGGTGATAGTATGGAAGATGAAGAAGATGAGAAGTCAGAGAGCCATAGCTGGAAAACTCACATTCATACATCTAGAAATGATGATGTATAGAATATATACCCCATGAATTTTGCAGATAAAAGTATACATGGGAGGACTATTTACTATAAGAATAATACATATACATGGAGAGATGGGTCTCGAGTGAGGATGTGAAAATTTTGCAGTGTTAGTTCTCTTTCCATCTGTGTATTTTTAGAGTTAATAGTTTTTCATTGGTTTTGGTTGGATCCATCTGTGTTTGAATGAAGAAACAGGATAAGATTTGTGGCTCTATGAGAACTACAACTTACAATCATGTCTCTGAGAATTCTTATGTTCATTTTCTTGAAGCTGGGGTCTGGAATCGTTGGACATCTATGTGGTCCCTTCAAGTTATTTATGTTCAACAGTGTTTCTTGTGGATGTAGGTTGAGTTGACCAATTCTTCTCCACTCTGAATGGATAAAGGCTATGGTCCGATAAGTAATTTTCAGTATGGTGCCAAAAAAAAAAATGCTAACGGTAAATCTTGGTGTGATTTAGTTGTAGTCATTGATCGTGAAAATAATAAAAAAATACTAACTCCAAAGTTAGGCAACCTCCCTCCCCCACCCTGAATATCCCTTTTCTTTCTCTCTTGAAGAAATGTGCCCAAAGTTGAATATCCCAAACGGTAGCTTTCTACCACATGGAAAAGTGGTTTTTCCATGTTGTTCTGGTGGCCTTATTGAATGTTCTTCCTTGTGTAGTTCTTGCTTTCAGACACAATTTCAAAAGATCCCAATCTATTTGAATGACTCTGTAGGTGTGAAAGTCATCCCATTTACACAAAATTTATTAGTTGGCTGTGATATGATCTGCAGAGAATCATTCCAAAAGTCTTGCTAATATTATATCACCTAAAGTGTGCACAAACATGGCTTGAAGAAATGATGACTTTTTGTTTTTTGATATGGAAGAAAAGAAATGTTACTCAAAGTTCATTATTCAAGCAACAGTATTGTATTCCAATTGACAGAACTGGATTTGGACTTTTTCTGTGAAAACATCTCAGAGATAGTTGATAACGGGTTGTGTTATATTGGATTCATGTCACGTGTTGGCTGATCGTGCACGTCGAAATTCAATCAGTTTATCTATATTTGACCTATATATAGTAGTGCATAGTTGAGTTTATATTATGTAATAGTGGCTGTCATGCCATATTAAATCCGTAGTTGTGCTGACTCGTTTATTAGACATGTTATAATTTAATCCCGTTAAAACTAAATTTATACCCAATATTTTTATATCAATGTCATATTAAAATAACGGATCGTGTTAAAAATTGTTTACCCTAATCATAGTTGTCTGCTGCCAGTTGTTTTTTCCCCCTCGTGGTGATAAGCATCAATTAGAGGTAGTGACCAACACTTTGGGAATCAAGAAATCCAATGACTAACGACCACCCACTTTGTCCTAAATGAATAATCCTAGTAGAAAACTGCAAAAGAAAGAATGGATCAGAATGCCGAGATTCTTGATCTTTGCTTAAAACCTAAATCTCCTTTTTGGCTACTTTTAATACTCCCCCCCCCCCCCCTTTTTCCCATTATATGCTACTACCCACAAAAAGAAAAATAAACAGCTTCTATCCAACCCTTTATGGGATCATTTAGTTGCAATAATAAAGGATGTATTAAGGAGTAATAATAAATTAAAATTCTATAATTAAATTTTATATTGCATTTGGTTGTAAAAAATATATTTTGTATTATATATAGTTTTACTTCAAATGCTTATTTAAATAATACACTATATCCGTATTATTGAATCAAGTATAATACTACCTAGGGAAGTGATATCATAGTTTAGTTCAAATGTGTTAAGTTATAAATTTATTATTTTACTCACCAAATAAACAAAAATATTAATAATTATGTAAAATTGATGATTTTTTTAGTCAAAATGTAATTAAGACTATATTTTTCCACCCTTATCCAGTGTGGTACCAAACACTAGATTGATAATCTTGTATTTTATTCGTTTATACATAATTAGTTTGTATTAACTAATACAATCATTTTTTTTTAATGAGACTAAGATATTTGGTATTGGTAGCGAGGTCTAAAAAATGGGCAACATATAATAAAATTGTGCGAAAACTGAAATTAGGGTATTCATGAGGGATAAATTCCTCATGACCTATCAAAATTCAAATTCAAGACCTTTGAATATCGCTTAATGTTGGATGTCTACGTACATCTTCCTAATAGATGAAATTGTTTAGAATTATCCATATTTATCCTCTAACCTAACCTGTCATATCCCACTTAAAAAACATAATCTGTTTGGTATATGCTTATCCAATGCATTCCAAAACAGTCTCTCTCACAAGTTAAATAATGGAGAGAGAATCTTGAATTCAAGAGATTATGAGTTGAGCCCACATTGATAGGACCATTTTGAAGATAGTACAGATATTTTGATCTCTAAACAGGAGAAGATAATACAAATTGTTTGGTGAAAGGATTGAGTGAAAATGATTGAACCTCCTTAATAGACTTAAGACTATCCTGCTAATTTCTCGTCCGAAGATAACAACATTAACGAAATTAATAAATAAATAAATAAATATATATATATATCCTTAGACAGATGATCATATATATATATATATATATATATATATTTATTTATTTATTAGGGTTTTATGAAATTTTTGATGGTTGGGTCAAAGTGAATCAAGTTTCAAAACCAACAACTATTACTGTTTGTTTTATTATTTGTTAAAGATAATGTAATATATGCAGCAGCAAAGCAAATTGATTCTTCACATGGCAGGCCAATTTAAAAATAAAACTCTAATCCACCTAAAAAATTATTGCTTATAAAATATTCCTAACAGAAAATGATCATCTAGTTAGAGAAATTTACAACTTATTATTAAAGTATTTATAACAGTGTTCTCTATTTTAGAGAATATCTTTTTTATAAAAAAGAGAGTATCTTTAATAACAAATTATAATAGAGAATGAATTTTTATACACTACTTCAATAGAATTTTTTATAAATATCATTTTATGTTTTGTCATTTTTGGTAATAAATTTAGCTTTTTTTTTCTATTTTTTCTCTACTATTTAAATGAGATACGTTTATCTTAAATGTCTTAAATAAAAATAAAAATATATCTTTTTTCTATTAAAAAAAAAGAAGAAAGTAGAGAGTCAAATTAGACTCTTTATTTTAGAGTGTGTAAAAATAAAGAATCTATTGAAGAAGAAATTTTAAGAGTTGATTCTCTCTGTAATAGAGAATTGAATATGAATAAAGAACTTATTGAAAATGCTCTAAAGTATGTTTAATAGGCTCTCTTTATTCTCACTCAATTCTTTATTTTAAAGTTAACCACAAAAAAAATTAACTTAAATAAGCTCTCTATTAAGACTAGTTAAAATAGAGTGTTATCTGACTCTCTATATTTGAAGAGTCTAACTCATTCGCTATCTTTATTTTTGATGAATGAAAAAATGACATATATATCTACGTCGTTCATTAAATGTTATTGACTATAAGCATATTTTCTTAGTAGAATAGAGAGCTCAGTGAAGTTGTCTAAAATATTTTACCAGTAATGTAATACAACTCCAATTAAATCTAAAGAGTTGCAACCCAAATGCATATCATCTTTTTGATGAGTGAATCTTGTTATTTTTTTTTTAATGGAACCCACTCATTCAAAACTCATCAAATAAATGATAAACATTTGGGTTACGGTTTTTAAATTTTATTTGAATTGTGTCGCATTTTTCATATTTCACTTTATTTCAAAATTTTATTAAAAATGCTATTTATTTCAATTTTCTCTCTATAGCACTCTCTTAGGGCATCTTGTAATGTAGATGTCATGTAATCTATCCAACTCCTTTGCCATCAAAATTCAAAGGTGGGTACGGACTTGTCAATGGATCGAATTTTTATCTAAATGTGAGTAGTTAAATATGGATTGATATTTTTTTTTATCAATTATTCTAATCCAAATTCGAATTTGATATCTTATATATTTTTGTTAAATATTAAAAAAATGACTAATTATTTGAAGAAATTTAGTTAGAATTTAGATATAATATATTAAATTTTAGTTATTCAGATCAAAATCAGATTTGTTAACGGATTTCATGAATATAAATTTCATTGGATTCAGACTGAAGTGTTAAAATCGGATTCGAATCAGTTAAAATCCAATTTTTTGTAGGCATAGAGGAGTGTGATAATTTGCTTGGGATGATAATGTGTGACCGGCTATTTTGATTCTTATTATGTTTTCTAAGTTTGAGAATAAACATTGACATTCCGGTACGTACGGTTGTTTTAGTGTGATTCAAATGTCACATCTTGGAATAATGAAATCAATCTATCTGTATGTAGTATAAAACTATCTATATGTATCTTNTTTTAGTGTGATTCAAATGTCACATCTTGGAATAATGAAATCAATCTATCTGTATGTAGTATAAAACTATCTATACGTATCTTTGACAGTTTTAAGACCCCGCGATGAAATCTCGTGTATGGGACTTTTTTTTTTTTTAATAAATAATTCCATTTCTCTTTTTGGGCAAAATGCCGGGTCGTGACAAGCAAAAGGCCGGGTCCAGTAATTAGGGCCTGGATTTGTATGGACTCAAAGTGAGGTGAACGTTTGGGTGGTCAAACCTTAAAAAGACAGGAATGGAGTAGTCCAAACCTTAAAAAGGTTGGTCAAACCAAAGCCCACAAAGCAACGGTCAAGTGCAAGAAGGTAGTTGATGGGCGCGACATGTGGATTCAATCTCAGAAATACAGTTACTAAACTTCCGGAATGGAGCAACTTCTTCCACGCTCCACCANGGTAGTTGATGGGCGCGACATGTGGATTCAATCTCAGAAATACAGTTACTAAACTTCAGGAATGGAGCAACTTCTTCCACGCTCCACCAAAAGAGAGAGAGAGAGAATGAACAATACTCAAGAAAATTTTGGGAAGTGAGTTTTGGAAGAGGAATTGATAACAAAAAAATGGCACAGGCACAGCCTGAGAGAGAGATAGAAAAAAAGATAGAAATGGCGATGAAAAAGGACAATGATAAAGACGCCACAAGTAGTAGTGCCTTCAAATTCAATGCCCAAGCGCCAGAATTTGTGCCAAGATCTCATACCCAGATCCCCATCCCGGGGTACTACTATCCCTGCTTTCACTACCTTGATGGGAGTGATGGGTCTGATTGGATTTATGTTGGTGATCAAGAACTAGTCCCTTCAGTTACAAATCCAAATGTCAGTGTCCCCAACTGTTCGAAGGATGTCCTCACTGAGGATCTTAAGCAGAAGATCATCAAACAGGTCATCTTTTATGGTGCCTTTTCTTTTTCCCCTCAGATTGTTGTTTTTAGATTAAAAAGACCAGTAATGTTTTTTCCCCATTGTTAATTCTATAGTTTTGATGAGAGTTTCCAAATTGGTTTGGTTAGTGGTTTGATTTATTCTGGGAATAGGCTTGATTCAGGTTTACCTGTCAAATTGTATGCGTTCTTTTCAGAATCCTATCAGATTCTCCATGATCCTTTCCTTCTGATATCTCTACACTTTTCACATTGAGGAACTATTTGTTGCTGCAAGTTTGAATTTCTTTGTATTGTGCAGTAACTATGTGCTGAATATCCTGTGGACCTACAAAAATCTTAGATTAGTTTGAAAGTGTAATTCAATAATATTGGTCAATCACAAACGGTGATATGTCTTGACAAAATTGTCTGATAAGATTTGAAGTTTAATTAGAGTGGCCAATCTCAAAATTGGTTTATGCTTTAAGAAACAGAAATTAGGATTATGTAGTTTAACATCTGCCAATGTGCATAACATTAGACTCTCAATTTTATTTTATAGAGGACACTGCCGGCAATTATGTGGACTAGCAATGCTTCTTCTGTTGGAATGTGAAGTGACTGAATGACTTTTTCTCTGCTGCAATTTCATAAACTCAAAATCGGGATGGAGATAGATTAGAACACTTATCCTGTAGGCTAAAGGGTCACTCAAAAAAACATTTGCTGCTGGTTAGTTGGGGGTCCCGCCCTGGGAGGTGGGGGGGACGAGGTTGGTTCATGATTTCCTCTTTTGTTTCCTTCCCCATTCAGAAATTAGTAGGAATGGATTAAGGATCCTTTCTGCTATTTATCCACCGACATGGATGCATAATTTCTTTTGCCTGCTGAGTATATATCAAATTACCATAACAAAAGCCTTTGCTGACACTACAAACTTGCAAGGTGTAATTTGTATGTAAATTTAGCTCCTATTTTTATAGTATTAGTAAGTTAAATTCAATTGGACAGTTGGTTTGGTGGACACCAAGTTTATTTAATTTTGAGCATATTATTTAATACAAGGAGTGATTACAACAGGTGGAATATCAGTTCAGTGACACGAGCTTGCTTGCAAATGAGTCCTTGATGAAGCACATTAACAAGGACCCTGAAGGTTACGGTAAGGATCATGACAGAGTACTATATTGATCTTAGAGCACGAAATATTTTTATGTTGTGAATTGATGCAATTTTGTTTGTGGTTATTGCCAATGTAACAGTTCCATTATCTTTTGTTTCATCTACTAAGAAAATCAAGTCCCTCATCAGCAATAACCAGCTGCTTGCACATTCTCTTCGGTCCTCTTCAAATCTGGTTGGTTCTTTTATGATAGCATTATCCTAAAACAAACAGAGAAAAACAGTATCCATTAATCTCTTTAGTCTGATTGAAATTTTGTTACCACAACAATGTTCTGAAGGTTGTAAGCAATGATGGAAAAAAAATTAGGCGTAAACACCCTTTCACTGATAAAGAAAAAGAAGACTTGCAGGTAATCCTATTGCTGTATTTTCCCACAATGTTCTGTTATCTTTGTTTTCCCGAAGTGCTTTGCTGTGTAACGTATAGTTTCCTTCTTCTGTTCTGCAGTGTCGCACTGTAGTGGCCGAGAATCTACCTGAAGATCACTCGTACCAAAACCTTGGCAAAATATTTAGTGTGGTTGGAAGGTTGGATATTACAATTGCTAATGACTTTCAATTTCTAGCACCCTATTTGCCAAGACGATCTTAAATTCACAGAAATATGTAATATGTATTTTTGGATACAGTGTGAAAACCATCCGTATATGCCATCCCCAGGAATTCAATGCTTCCCGTTCCAAAGGAGATTTTGTCATCAGCAACAAGGTATGAAGAAATCCCCAAACCAAATTTTGTTAGCGCATTTACCTGAAAATAATTATGAAGAAGGTTCTTTCTCACTCTGATTTTTTATTTGGTGTTCTTTTAACTTGCCCTCGTTTGTTTTTTACTTGCAGCTCCATGCACTAGTACAATATGAGACTATTGAGACAGCAGAGAAAGCAGTATGTCAAGACTTTTGAACCTCAAACTACAAACTTCGATTTCTTTTTTGATCCCTTTCTTTTTCCTTTCCCTCATCTTGCAATACCACTAAGACCTTTGCAATTCCATCAGGTTGACAAATTAAATGACGAGAGGAACTGGAGAACAGGCCTCCGAGTAAGATTGCTGCTTAGACGCACGGTAGGTTTAAATGAAATGCACTTAACCATTTCTTTTTTGCTTCTGCTTGTCTGAAAATTTTCAAATTTTATAAAAATGGCCAGCCAAAGTCTGTTCTAAAGACCAGGAAGTCGGACTTTGATAGTTATTTAGACGATGATGAGGCACTTTTCCTACTATCAGATGATTCCGCTCAGCTTAATAACTCCGAATTGGTCATTGACAGTTATGTAAGTATCCTTGCTGTATTACTTTTATGTTTTGATATCTTTGACCATATTCTTTTAAGTTTTTTCTGGATTATGGTGAACTACTTCTTACATATATTTCATTTTTTGAACTCTTCTCACTCAACAAAGCCTTGCCCCAACATTTTTAGGGTCGGCTATATGAACTCTGTTTCGCCATTGTGTTCTATTAAGGGCGATGAACTCCAGTAAGAAATGAGCAGATTTTTGTCATAAGCATACAATAGTCTCAATAACAGGAAAAAAATGATTCCTTTTTAAAATGAGTCGAGCCATAGTTTTAGAAGGTGAAGGTGAAGTGTTTCTTGATCTTGCTGCTAAACATATTGGTAGGCTGAAGAAAGCTCAGTTGGATCAAAGAAAGGATCCACTAGAGGCCGTGGCAAGTCACGACCACGCAATCAGAGTCATAATGGACGTGGCCTGCTCGCCCCATCTCCACAGACAAGCAGCTCCACGCAGTGTGAAGCATCAGCCAAACCGGCTACAAAGGGACCAAGAATGCCTGATGGAACCAGGGGATTCAGCATGGGAAGGGGGAAGCCAATCAGTACTCCTGTTCCAGCCACTTCACCTGTGGCATGAGTCACTTTCTAAGTCAGACTACATTACATGGAGAGTGTTTACAAGTTAAATACAAGTTATATAGCCAATAATTGCAATTGCAGGTTCTTGCCATGTGCAAGCAGGCCTATAAATTTTATCAATATTCCGCCATATAAAGCATTGTATGTTAGAGAGCTCATGACAAAAGTCAATGACTCGTTGATATCAATCTTTTTTAGGTCCATGTTTGTATCTTTCGGTCTCGTTGCTTGAATAAACGAATTGAAACGTTTCTCGTGATTGTACAATGCATATATATAATCATTCGTAAATGATAATGATGGGATTTCAGATATGGACTGCCCTAATCAAAAGCCCAACAGGTCCATAAGGCCTTTACTTGAAGTGTGGCTCAAACCGCTTACCCGCAGCTTGTCCACATCAAGATTAGAATGGACCGCGCCCAAAGGATGAAGTCCATCAATGCCTGAAGGCTTGAAGTCCAGCCCAACCCAACCCCAGCTCAGTGGAAGGTCAGCCCGAGATAAAGGAGCTTGCCCCTTTGTCGATCCTGAAACGCTCCCGTCGCGCCACGTGTTCTAAGAGCAGAGAGACTACTTCTAACACCCATAACAAATACGCACTCTCTGCCACAGAGAATATTGGTGCGCGTAATTGCTTAAGGGCCGTGGATGCAGTAACGTCATATGGCAGAGATCACTACAAGACAAAAGTAGGAGACCACAAAATCAGCTAAAAAAAAGGAAAGAGCCACAAAAAACCTTAGAAGAATTATCTGTATAAATAGGACACTATTATCCTACAGAACACTCATGATTATCATCTTCCTCATTATCTATACTGTGAACTACACAAATAAGCTTGTATTCTCCAGACATTTCTTGTAAAGGTTCTAAGCCAAAAGAACTACTCTAATAACCTTCTTCAAGCAATACACATTTCAAGGAGCAAGAGACTCCCTTACAGTGAATGTAGTTTTAGTTTTTCGGCTAAGGTGAACCACTTACATTACGTATTTACCTTTCTCTCATAGTTTTATCCGTTTTCATCCCATATTTTTACTCTATCCCTTCTCTAAGCCATTTGATTGTGATTCTAGACTTGAGCTAACATTTTTGAACACCATCAGTAATTATGCACTTTAATAAACCAAGATTCCTCTCGCCACTGTAGAATTGGGGATCTGATAATAATAACCTTCTAAAATCTCTAATTAAATGTGCTTCTACTTTATGGTTGAATACTATCACAACAAAGAGAGCGAAAAGAGAAGAGTCCTATAATTTAACNCATTTTTGAACACCATCAGTAATTATGCACTTTAATAAACCAAGATTCCTCTCGCCATTGTAGAATTGGGGATCTGATAATAATAACCTTCTAAATCTCTAATTAAATGTGCTTCTACTTTATGGTTGAATACTATCACAACAAAGAGAGCGAAAAGAGAAGAGTCCTATAATTTAACTAGACAACTCATCACCAACGGCCTATTAGCTCAGCTGGTTAGAGCGTCGTGCTAATAACGCGAAGGTCGCAGGTTCGAGACCTGCATGGGCCACTTTTTTTTTGGGTGGTTATTCAATGGCTTTTTGAGCATATTTCATTTATGTTTCATTTTTTTCCTTTGGGAAAATCAGTAAAGTTTTAGCATACAAAAATCCACTTCTAAAACATTGTTGGAGGGCACAATCCTCACATTAGCATCAGTCACACACACATGCAAAGTTTTTATCATATTGGTTAAATTCTCTATTAATGGAATCAAGTGTGTTCAAAGTTAGAGGACGGACTTTGACACAACTGAAAGATTGCTCTATTGTAATCTACAAGTCATGGGTTCGAGTTACGAAAATTATCTCTCTCCTTACAAAGATAAAGTTACATACATCTAAATCTTTTTAAATTTCACAAAGTACGCTTGTTTGAAGTTGGTCAAATCCCAAGCTTAACCAACTTGACCTTCACCTGCAATATACAGAATCACAATCATGACAATGGTGTGGTCCCGAGCACTCGTAAAATCCTGGGATGGTAACGGGACATAACAGAAGAGAATCAATTTGTCAAATATTAGCATTCGGAAGCACAAAGGTTCACATGCCCACCTTCACCCTCAAGTGCCTCTCCCATTGCCACCTTTTGAATCATATCAAAAGGTTTTTCACAGTTTCTAAACCTACCAGAAAAAAGGTCCTCTAAAACCTCACATTGTCAGTAGAGTAGTCCGTAATAGTGTTACATTGTCGGGATTCTCTCTCTCGATTCTGGTCAAAAATTGAGGTAAACTTAAGTAAGGGTGTTCATGAGTCGGATTGGTCCCATTATTTAGCCCAAAAAGAAATAGGTTTGAAGTCCGATAGGCTTGCCCAAGCCTGAATTCTAGTCTAATATATTTTAAGAGAGAACTTGGGTCTATCTCAAATCTATTTTTCTACCCGGAACCCAGCCCAATAATCCATTCGTAAAAAATTCGTTAAAAACTAGGCCCAAGAACCCACCCACCCAGCCCGCGTCACCTTTCTTTGAAAAAAAGTTAGAAACATTAAATTTGAAATTTTTAAAAAATAAATATGTGGGTAGATGTCAATCTAACTGAGCTGTATTCATTCTATTGTGATGTAGTTTTTCCCCTATTTATAAATAAAATTATTAATTATTTATTTTTTTTTATTTTAACTTTAATTTTAATTAAAAAATATAATTTACAAAAATATTTAGTTACAAAAATATTCAATATTTCTAAATAAAATTGTATATAAAAACTTGTCTAGTAGGTTTGTCTAGCGAGTAACGAGTTGAATTGCGGGTAACTTATTCCTACTTGAAGCTTAATCGAACTTGTTTGATAACTCGCTCAAATAAGGGCTTGAACCTTCCTATCTAGGCTTAGTCCGAAAAAAATTTAACAGGCCAAACTTGGCCCGGCCCATGAAGACCACTAGACTTAAAGAGTTCAAGACATAAAAATAATCTTTATATATATGGGGATAAGGCCAACTCTATCTAAATCTTGCGACGACAAAAAAACTCTTTTTTTTTGTTTTTTATTGTTGTGTTAAAAAATTATGATTGCATAACATTTGCTGGGTATAAGTGATTTTCTTAGGATTTTTTTTTTTGTTGCGCAAAAATAGGGTGGAACAAGAATGAGTGTCCAAAATTACTTTGATAGGTCTTTATTGGATGAAATCATGAGATTCTTAATCGCGTTCATTACTCCTCTAAAATATAAATATAATTAAATTAATATAACGATGAATAACCAAAATTCAAAATAAACTCTAAAACTCAAACCAGCAGTTCACGGAGTTTTTGTCCACAAGAAGATACCCATAACCTAGTCTTTTTCCCCAGTTTTCCCTACTTTCCCTCCACTTTATTTTCATCACAGTGATCATTTTCTTTTCACTTTTTCCTTTTAGTACAAACAGTGATCATTTCCATCCCCCAGAGCTTTCTCACTTGCCTTTTTCTTTAATCTCTCTTACCTCACAGATATCACCTTTACCTCTCATTATTTACCTTCTCATTCTTTGCTAGTCTACAGGGTAGAGAAATAGCTCAAACAATTCCCTTTTTCTTTTTACTAATTACTTTTCCACCCCTTTTCCCCCAAGTTACGGGCCTATGAACATTGATTCTCTCTCATTCACCTATAACCCCCAGTATCTTTTCAATCAAAAAACACAATAATCTCTTAAACCCAAAACCCATAAACCTCTCAAAGCCTCAAGAAACTTCAACATTCAACACTTAACACAGTTTTTGTTTCTGGGTATTCTTCAAAATGTCTACTACACCAATACCAGTCCCAGAACAGCAACAACCACCACCCATTGCAGAGACAACCCAACAAGCCTACACAGCTCATTCGGGTCACGGGTCAGTTGGACCTGTCATTGCAGTTCTCGCAGTGATAACCATTTTGGGTGCAATAGCTATTGNAACAAGCCTACACAGCTCATTCGGGTCACGGGTCAGTTGGACCTGTCATTGCAGTTCTCGCAGTGATAACCATTTTGGGTGCAATAGCTATTGTGATCGGTAGGCTTTGTTCTGGTAGAAGAATCATGGGTCGTGGACGGTACGACTTCGAAGGATGGGTTGAGACCAAATTCTCTTCTTGTCTCGATGGTCGAGTCGACCCTCCACCGCCGCGTGCGGCTGCGGAGAACAGTTTCAGTGGTGGTGGTGGCTTCGGCGACGCCGTTCCGGCTGCGGAGAACAGAGTCAGTAGTGGCTCCGGCAACGCCGTTCCGGCTGAGACACCTCAACAAGCCAAGGAGGAAGAGATGATATCTGATCGACGAAACCCACACGAGACAGCTCAGTCTTCATGATTATACACTTCAACTGTACGTGAAATGGGTTTTTGGTTTTTTATTTTGATGGCATATTCATTATGTGGGGATTTTTGGTGGTATGTTTGTTTAGATTTCATTCATAATTGACCTCAATTTAATGATACAATGAGGTTTAAGGCTTGGCCAATTGATTATTTCTTTTCGAGTTTAGCTGTAGAAGCTTATTATTAGTACTTTGATTAATTTCACTCACAGTTTAATCAAAAACAAATCATCTTTATTAACACTAAGATATTCTATAAATTCCTTAATATTTAAATCCACGACGTCTGACGTGTGCCTACCAACCCTATTGATACTGATTAGTTGCTCGAATGTTGAATGAAATCAAATATCGAATGGGTCTGGTGAAGGACACGAGACTTTTTCCCGAGACAAAAGGCTACTAGATTTTGGTATTGACAAAAAGCCTGTAGGATTCATTGAGCATACTGCATCTAGCAGAAGGAGAAACGGGTCGCTCCTCCAAACACGAAGTACCCAAAAAAGATGAGAAGGTTTTCTGTCTGGTAGAATCAACTATCGCTACGAATGAATAGGTAATTGAGACAAAAATTGATATGTTCCATTTTAGAAAAATTAAGTACCACTCTTTTATTGAAAACACTTAAAATTTAGTATCATGTAAATTATTATTTATAAAAATAGGATAATATGACAAATAAAATAAAAAAAAAATTATCAAAAAGGGTAGCAGAGATTTGTTTTTTGATTTCATTGTTATTTTTTACATCTGATTATGGGTATAATATAAGATTTTTATTCTTTTAGGGTATAAATTAAAATTTTAAGGATCTTTTTATGTGCAAAGTATCATTCACACTATTTTAAACATAATTCATAAATTTGACATAAATATTGAATTTGAGTTTTTTTTTTGTCCCTAGGTTATGAGTATGGTTGTGTCACGTGATTGGGAGGGTGTGCATTGCATAGCACAGCGATTGGTCTGATTTGGGGTTGAACTGAAGCATGTGATGGGACAGCTTTTGTCGGGTAAATGGAGCCTGCCCCCACCCATCCACCCATTTCCAGGGCTTCGGACACCCACCTAGGGTGCCAAAAAACATGGCACAAACGGTTAACATCAACCCGTAACAAAANCATCCACCCATTTCCAGGGCTTCGGACACCCACCTAGGGTGCCAAAAAACATGGCACAAACGGTTAACATCAACCCGTAACAAAATTAGAAGGGTTGAATTTTTTTTTTTTAAGTCAGTTGTTTTATAAATAAATAAACTCGATAAAATAAATCGGATATAAATAAAATTAATCAAAATAAATATACGATAAAATTTATTTATATATTGATTATAATTTATATAGAATTTATATATGATATAAATTTAATATATTATAATTTATTAAACATAAATTAATAATTTATGATACGAACTCATTAAATTTTAATACAAACGTGTCTCACCTGACACTATTGATAGAGGTCCACCCACCCACACTTGGACCTGTAATCAGACCGAATTCGGACCAGATAGGTACATCCGAATTAGATTCCAAATTTGATTAAAATAATCTTTATCGAATCACCTAATGAATAGAAAAATATTAGTACAGATTTGAATCCGTTTATAATCAAATATCTGGACCAATTATTCAATTCGATTCATAATGATATTCTACTAAAATATCAACAAATAATTTTATCAAATACAAATAACTTATAGACTTATATGTGTATATTACATGTAATAATTTTTATTGAATTAAATTTATATATATTTATATTTGATTTAAAATATTTAAACGAATTTTGATAAAATTTTAAATAAACGAATTAAAATCTATATAATAAAACATGAGTGTGTTTAAATTTTATTTCAATCATTTTTTTCCCCTCAAAATCATCACTAATCACTTACTTCACCTATCATCCATTTGTCAGACTTAAACATCAAATCACATTACTTATTTCTATTATATGTTTAATCATTTATATATTTCTTCCCCAAAAATATCACATCACTCATTTTTATCATATATTTAATTATTTAATATTTAATTAATTTATAATAAATATATTTTTAAAAAAATTAATATAATAGAATTAATTTTTTAAACGTTCAGATTTTATATTTTATTGTACTTCTACGCACGAATTATGACTAATATTTATACGTATAAGATTGGAATTTGAATTCTTGGCAGTCTTACTGACACCTCAATGCTAACTAAAGCTCCTTATGACAGTGCATTACAGCTGGGTATATGTACGAACTAACTGAGTCTGTCAATTCTGTTGACTGTAGATTTGGATTTTCTTCTATTTTATTTTGTGTCCTTATTCTGCTCGCAGGATTCTTTTACCCCCACTCTTCTTCATCCACATGCTTGAGACTGTAACAGAGGAGGAAAAATCTCCTGAAGATGGACATTCAAGAGGAACTCAAATACCATTCAACTGGCCACTGTTCGTATTAGTTTTTTTTTTTTGGTTAAATTACACTCACCCTCTCCTAACATTTGACTTTATTATACAGATACCTCCTCACATTTTAAAAATAACACCAAACTCCCTTAACATTTCAAATTTATAATAGTCGCATCCCCTTCAATTAACTGATGTTAAACTCGTTAATGGTCAAAATTGAGATCATCAATCATAATTCTCAAAATACTAAAAATATCCTCTAAGTTTATCCAACTTCTCATTTGTTTTTTAAATCTATATATGAAATATATATATTAAAATTTAACTCTTATATGTGTAATTTCTAAATACATTACATTAATAAATAAAATATTAAATTTTTTTTGTTTATTAAATAATATTTGGTACTATTAGTACAATTTAAAAAATAATCATTTCTTAAAAACCTTAATATTACCTAATCCAATTATCCCATATTAAATTTATTTTTGTTTATTATTTATCTAATTACATAAATTTTTACTCTTGCCAACATTACCACCAGTTCCACCACCAGTTCTACCACCATCACCGCTGCCTAAACCTAACCATTGCAATAGTGGATCTGCCACCACCAGCACACAGAGAGAGAACAAAGACAGAGGGAGGGCGAGAGAATAGAGACAAAGAACATTACACCACCACCACCATTATCTTCATTTTTTCCTCCACAACAACAAAACACACAACCATCACAGTCGAGCAACCCCACCACATTCTTTTCCTCCGCCTCCATTTTTAACTCCTCAACCACACCACACACGCAAAACCAACAACTACTAGTAAAATCGAACCCCAAAATCATCCAAGCAAATTTTTTAATCTTCAAATCCTTTTGATTTCTCAGATTTGGATGGGGGGTGGCTACTGGAGGGTGCGATGGTGGGGGAAAGGCTAGCAATCTTCTGTGATTTTGGCCCCTAAATGAATCATTAACACCATTACCCATCACCCAATCGTCGCCTCCACACTATGGAAACCGCCACCACCTCCTCTCTCTCTATGCCTGTGTGTATATATATATGTATGTATATACATATATACACACACATGCACACACAGAGATGGGCTGAGGGAGAGAGAGAAGACTGATGATTGGGGTCGCTGGTGGGAGTGAGAGAGAGTCAGAGAGGGATTAGGGTTTGGGTTTGGTTCGCTCGTGGGAGAGACAGAGGGAATGGGATTTGGGTTTGAGTTTGTGTTAAATAGAGGGGCAAAGGTTTGAGTTTATGTTAAACAGAGGGGCAAAGTTATCTTTTTATTAGGGGAGTTAACTCCGTCTAACGATTGGGGTTTTAGTGTAATTTTTAAAATATAAACGAGTGTCCGTATAATAAAGTCAAATGTCAAGTAATATGAGTATAATTTACCTTTGTTTTTTTACAATCCTCGCTAATCTTTACATGTCGTGGCACGACATATGAAATTTTTATTACTCTAATCACAATATGAGTATAATATAAAAATTTTAATCTTAAAAGAGTTTAAATTGACAGTTTTACACGGAGACAAAGTATTCTTATTCTTCTTATATTTATTCCTTGCAAAAGTCTACATGGACAAGATTACAGTATCAAAATAAAATTAGTATAGTATTTCTAAATTTATTACTTTTTAAATTTTGTTGAGATTTATATAATTAAACGATAAATTTCAAACATAATTTACTAGAAAACACACGACACAAGGCATAGTTTTTACTGAGTAAGTAATAATGGGTATAATAAACATGGTCCAAGGGTAATTTTTATTTTTATTTTTGTTTTAAATTTGACCTGTATACGAGAAAAGCAAGCGGCACGGCGGAGGGCAATCGACGCCCAACTGAGGTTGATCAATCGGAAGAGAGAGAGAGACAGAGATGAGTGTGTTCGGAGGAGATAGTTGGGCTCGAGAGGCGCAGTACAAGAAGACAAGAGTCGATGAGCTTCTAGTCGACGGCTTCGATTCTTCCTCGTACAAGAAGCTCTCTAGCGGCAAATTCGCTTGCCTAGTCTGCCCTAACAATCCCGTCCTCGATACCCCTCTCATGCTCTCTGTACGTACAATTTCTCACTCTCCATCACCTGTCTCCTCGCTCTTTGATTTTATTTTTCGTAGAATATGTGAATCTTCACCAGCGTTTTGAATTCAATCATCAGTTGGGTGCTAACAGTTTTGGGTGCTACCAGTATAAAACGAACCTATATTTAATTTCTGGGAAAGTTCAGGAAATAAAGCTGAAATTTAATTTGTGATTTTTTAAGGGCTTATATAAGGGAAATTGTTTACCTATATTGATCGACTACTACTTGGGTCGATTCTGGCGGAATCCATGTATTGATGATGAGAACAATACCATAAATACCAGATTTATTGACTTTGAATATGCAAAAGTTGATATTGGGTGTAGGGGTTTGAATCCTAATCACCAGTGGGGAACTACTAATAAAAAAACGAAAAAATAAAGCTGATCTGGTGAGTTGTGCTATACAATTCTCTGTTAAATTGCTGGAAAAAGTGAGGGAATATGCATGACATTTGATTTATGAAGGGCATGAACAAG